CTAGAATGAACACGTGTCGTAACCCCCCCCCCACAGCACCTTCATTAGCACGTATTCTTGTAAACAAAGAACAGGTTTTCACGGACTTTGTTAACAGTTTTAGGATTTAAATATCTTTTTTCAGTGTTATTTTTACTTTCTCTTTTGCTCCAAACTCTATATTTTTTAACTGAAATGTAGGCTTCATGCTTGCAGAAGTTATTACAATACAATACAAAACAGTTTCTATGTGATACTTCGACTGTCATTCATTTTATGTTGCCAAGAAGCGCTTAAATAGTAGGTAATTGAGATTGTACATGGCCAGTTTTTCTTTCTAGCCGATCAACTGCTTTACCCCGGGTTGTTTTGAGATCGATGGTGCCCCGTTTTACTCGCGAAAAATGAAGTAGACTTGAAGCAAGCATCATGGAATGTAATCATATACATCCCCTATTGTATCTCAATGAAGGTAAATCTACCGTGGTTTCATTGATCGAGCGATTCTACGACCCGGCCACTGGTCGCATTCTTCTCGGTGGTCAAGATCTGCGAGAGATTCCTTTGGATGTACTTCGTGGAGAACTGATCGGTTACATCAGTCAAGAACCGCAAATATTCAATACCACAATTCGTGAAAATATCCGTTTCGGTCGATTAAATGCAACCGATGCCGAGGTGGGTCGATGGGTTCTGTTTGTTAAAATCATATCTTTTTCTAATGGATGCTCTGCTCACATTCCTTTGCTTTGAAAAAAAACTTTTTTGAACTTCGGGAAGTACCTTAAATTGGAGTTATTCATCAATATGCGTAAAAGCCTGATACACTACTTCTACGTACCGCAGTCACTATACAGAATTACTGCGCTACTCCTTTGTGAGAACTTTTCTCTTATCCAAAGCATCCTTGTGGGTCTATATCATAATGAAAGCACTGTACAACCACCAGGGTCACGGGGTTACCGGAATGACTGTCCTCAGAATACCTCGCCACTGTATTTTCTAATCAGCGCGAAGATGCTTATGTGCATGAATGGGGCGGATAGAGAAAGACGCACTGGATACGTTCGTTTTTTTTGACTACACAGATTGGGATCCAAGCTGTTTCAATAAACGGAAATGCTCGTTTTCTCCTTTTAAAAGCATAATCGTTTCTGTGTTTTGAAATTCTTGATTAGTCTGTACATCCCTCTTTCTCGGGTCCGAAGATAGTATTTATCTAACCTGTTTTTCTCTCTCTCAAATCCATGGATTTTTGGTGTTTTAATTTTAGATAACTAATTTACCAATTCTACTAAATATACAGGCCACTGTTTTTATCTGTTTGCCCAGTCGCCCACAATGTGGTTGTTTATGTGATTGTCGATGACCTAAAGGCTCCTAATTGCGGCGTTACACAGGTCGAGTTCGTCATGAAATTATGATTTGAACAGACGTTTGTTGCAGACCCGCGTGCTACGGACGCCATTTCGAACCACATGACCGCATTGCTACGGATCAGTGAACCAGGTTGTTCTGGATCTCAGCAATGCGGTGTAGTTGTGCGTGCCCTTTGCATGTTTGCGTGCGAATCTCGGCGACAACAAAACTGAGTATCAGTTTCACTGGGTGCTGTGTTATTTAGCGCTTGTTGTCATTGTTGTTTTCGTGTACTCTAAATGTGCGGTACCTCTCTGTTTGCTGCCGCTGTCTCTCAATCGGAGTTCTCCACCAGCCGTGGTTCTTTTTTCACAAGTGCAATGTTATTCACTGTTCCAATCAGGCAAAGTTCCCAACTATAGATTATTTCCCGCGTACTTTTGAATAAATGGTATAGACTGTACTAGAGTTTCTGTTTCTTCGACTACTCTGAATGTCAGGATCTTCATCCGCCATGGTTGATTATGATGGTTATTCATGTTACTTCTTGATGCTTCCTACTTTGTTCCGTGTAATGACTGGTCTTATTCACATGTTATGCGTTCGAGATACCTTGTCGCTTGATTTTATTGCCGTTTAATCTTGAGTTGGAATGAGATTGGTTGAGAACAGCTAATTTCATATTATCTTTCTCCAAAATTGTGAGTGTTCAGTTTGCGATGAGCACTGGACGTGTAAAATTGTACTTATTAAAGTTAACCGTAATTTTTCGCCGAACCAGTGAATCCACTTCCTCAAACCACTCCTTCACCAATAGCCAACAAAAGCGCAAATATTTAATTTAGTATTTAATTGTAGTCACCATTCAAACATACAATACCTGTAATTTCTATTCGGGACTTCGCAAACCTTAGAATAACTGCCACAGACAGGAGCGGCACGGCAGATTCCAATTGTTTGCTTATGGAAATGCACTGTGAAGTGCTGCATTTGTATGAGCTTCGCTTGGGTGTGAAAATCCGGTCGATCGTTTGAAACACCTTTATCCGGTTCACACCGAACACGTTATTGCTTCGTGAACACAACATGATCAATCGCGGATTATCAGAGTCTGCAAAAATCTCACCCACTGGGATTGCCCACATTTAACTGAGCAGATGTAATTAGTACTAATTATTGTCGTGCTCCATGTGAAATGTGACACGCCCCGACCAGTTTTATACGAATCCACAAAGGGTCTATCGACACCTTGACCTGGTGTGATGGCTATGCTCAGACGCAAACTTGGTCATGCGTAGAATGTGACTGTACCACGTGACGGCGACTGTACTACCACGTCAGTAGTGTGTGAATCAGTTACGCCGTCATAAAACTCCGTTAGACAATGGCCGGATTGACGCACCTGGGGTTTTCTCCGATCAGTGAATCTAACTTTAGTGCTTCATTACACCCCTGTCGCCCACCGAAATCCACTGAGCTCTCAGTCATTGGCTTGGCACCACTCCCAAGGTCCTCATTTTTTTTTATCACATTCAAGTGATCACCCACTAGCTTGTTACCAGAAATAGGTTTCCACTCATCCCATGAAAGTGATCAGCACGTGATCTAAGTAAGGTGTATACTGCATTAGGACAGATCAACATACAGACGGATTTGCTGGAATTACATTACCAAGGAATTTTCCTCCCCTTGATTAGAAACCTCTAGCTTTCTTACAAATTCACCACACATTGACTAGATCAGATCAGTATTGGACAGTTGGTAGCCCAATAAAAGTGATGTCTAGCCGATGATGTTTCTTTGGGATTTAGGAACGCTTTCGGTACCGGGATTTCGTCATTCGTCTGGGCAGTTGGAGGAAGTGTTGAGCTGGGGATATTTGAACACTGAAACAAGCTCAACTAGCTGCGGTTGATATACTATGTATGGGATGGATTGCTGTCTCGGAAACAGATTTTAGTTTTTCCGTTGCGTGCTATTTGGCTCGAAACCCGCTGAGAATTTGTTTACTATCGACCCTGTTGATGGTGAGCATTTGAATGTTCGCATGCTTTAGGATCCAAATCAAAGTCTGGCATAATCCTAATGACGAGGTGCCATAGCGTCAAGTAAAAATCATGATCGGTGTTGGCCCAGTAGTTGTGCCTTTTTTGT